AATATTAGCAATATCGAATAATATAAAATTCAATTTAATTTAATTTAAAGATATAAAATAGTAGTACCTACAGGTTACAACAGATTATAATGAGTACAAAACTAGGTATAGTTACAATTTATATTTTTATATTCTATGAATGTTTTTTTTTAATAATATATCTTGATATATAATCTGGGTTTTTATTTTCAAATATTTCAACCTATAATAGAAATAATATAGGTATATTTTAAGGAGGTAGGTATGTTGAAAAGTTTAGAAAAATGTAAACGTTCTATATTTATTTGCGAATAATGTTTCATAAAGAATAAGGGAGTATTTTATAATAGAAGAAAAAACTAGGACAATGAATCTTAAAAGTACATACACATAATACATTTTCTAACAATCTTTCATAATAATAATAAGAACTTAGTAGTAACCGTTCCACTTTTTTGTTCTTTACATTAAAGAAATGAAAAAGCTAGGACCGTAAATCTAAATCACGCATAAATATTATTTAACAAAATGGTGCTTTCACATGAATCTATTTTTTAATTTTACAAAAAAATAGTACTTACCTTATAATAATAATTGTTGTGTTATATCAGTGTACGTAATTATTGTTATTATAATTATTATATATCTCAATAATTTAACCGAAATCTTGTAAATGGCAATTATTGTGTCAATCATTGAGTATTTCAAGTTTACATATGTATAAATACTTATAAGTATATTAAACAGACTTTTGAATTAACAATAATAAAATAGTGTATTCAACCGAATCCATGCACAAAATCGACAGTTATTAGATAATATGCGTTTTCACCATGATTATATCGGTCACATGTTTTATAATATAATCATTGATATTATCGTTGATAATTTATTTTCTGTGAGAAGACTTTTTAGCATTATTCGATGGCTGATTTTGTTTAATAAATCAACCCTTTATTGCTCTCTCTCTCTCTTACTATACATAAATAAATATATATATATATATTATAATGTGTGTTTATTTGCTTGGGTTGTTGTAAATAGTTCCGACTAAGGGTCTCGAATATAATTTTAAATCGATATTTATTATTAGATTTTACTTTTTAGTGCATATAATGGTAAAATATTAGTGATCTATTTATTATTTCTGAAGTAAATATAACTTTCTATAATCTATGCCATTGGTTTTTATTCCAGCAATGTCCAAAATATAAAATCATATGTAAGTATGTGACATTTTAAAAAGTAGCAAAAATTGCAACATAAGTGTGATGAGCAATAAAATTGCACGGATATGCTAACAAAACAATACCTGAGTTTCATGAATAATAGTAAATACAATTAAAAATTTAAACTAAAAACTATTATAAATATATAATATGTATGTAGTAAAAAGTGGGTATAAAAATTTTAACACAGGTAAATAAAATATTTATATTATTTATAATGCCTAAATAATTATTAAAAAATATAATGTATTCAAATTTTTGGTCAGTGTTAGCCATTAGGTCAGGCCATGGCCTGACTAGCCTGACCCGTAGTTTTGTCTATGCATATAACAAAAGTTCATTTAAATATGCATTAATACTAATAATGTTTGATAAAAATACAGATTATAATATTATAATTATTATACAGTCGGTTTAAATAATTTAATATTTTACTATTAACATTATAACTACTAAATAATTTATTTTGTATACCAATAAGGTCATTACCAAGAATCATAATTTAGGTATATAAATTATAAACTATATATATATGATATAGAAATATATAGGATATATAAAAATAATATATATACAGGTATATACATTTAAACTTTATTCTATTTATAATTATTAAATAATCAAAATTGAGTATACTTTTATGTATTTAGTAGGATATTTATCAAAAAAAATAAATATTATCCTTTATAAAATAAGTACATCTGGTCATAATAGTTATATTATTAAATATAAAAAAAAAATTATCATACAATGACTTAAGTTGAATTTGTCTTCTTAAAAAAAAGACAAAATAAAGAATCTGGTTAAGCTATCGAAAATCAAAATTAAGTTTTGAAAATACTCGCTGAAACTTAACTTTAGTGCACTGAAATAGAAGCACGTATTTGAACATTATACACAATGCATTAAATAAACTAAACAAAAAAAAAAACATGATTCATCAGTGATTTAATTATATATTTGTTTATTTGGCTATTGAACTCTAATGTTGGAAAAACAAAGAAATTGCCGGGTAACTATATGGTACAGATATTCATTGCCTAGTACTTACTGTATAAATTGGCTATCTCCATAGATTATTAAAACACAAAATATTACGCAGAAAGTTTTAATTTTTAATTTTGAGTTTCAGTAGATAATAAAAAAAAAAATATTATAAAATTCAATTACCGTGGTTTTTTAATGTAGTATTAATAGCAATTTTAATAAAACATTAAAGGATATAGAAACACGGTCAAATACTTGAATATAATACTATTTATATAATTATGTTATGCAACAAATTTTTGGTATCCTATTTTATAGAACTGTTTTTTATTTAAACTCATCTAAATAAACGTATTTTTAGTTGAGCTACTTACAATAAAATATAATACACAGACATAATATACATTGATACTCGTATAAATTTTTAAATACAAGACATACAAAAGCTTCTAACGTAATTTAATAAATGCGTTCATTTGAGATTTCAATAATTTTGGATCAAATTCCAAGTGTAGTTATGTTAAAACACCAAGTATGTGAATGATAGATGTTATCAATCGGGTTTTCCGATTAAATTAATCGAATTACAGATATCTATAAAATTGCTATTTCGGTGTACGATTTCGTATACTTGTATGCATATGTATTGGCCCGGATACAAAATAACCACAACCGTCCTCGACAGTGACTAGGGTTTTACGGTTTTAACAGCAACCAAAATGATCAGATTAGGTTTTTGCCTTAAATTGCACAACTCGAACGAAGCGGTCGAGTAAGCTATGTAACAATTGGTAAAATTATTAATAAATCTCAATCGTTATAATTCCTCACAAAAATAAAAGATTACAAAGATAGTATATTATTAACACTTTGATATGTTGATAAAATTTATATTTATCAAAAACAAAAATAGGCAATACCATGTGGAAAATTATCGATTATAGCTTTATGCGGTTTCGGAATTGTATAACCGCTATAGACGTAGGAAGTAGGCACACATGACATGCAATATCCGTTCAATTTATTATAATATTTATACGTTTATACAAAATAATACGTTACAACAACAACAATAATAATAATAATAAATGTAATTATATGTTTGCAACTATTATTGTGTATTATTGTGACAACATTTCAAATAAAGCATTGAAAATAATATTCAAACCATTATCGTGACACAAACGTACAATGCGTTGCACACTGAAAAGACACATCGAATAAAGTTTAACAAAATAAAATATGTAGTGTAAAGTCACTATGGAGTAATAGAAGAAATATTTTGTGAATATATAATGATTATCAGAAAAGTTCTGTACAATGATGTTCTTTTCACTTTTATTTGAAATTTTGAGATGAATTTTGAGACTACGAGTTTCATACAATAATATCTTGTTGCCTGTAAATATTACAAATAATATGACTATACATTGGTGAACATAATATAACTTCATCGAGTATTATTTAAAAAATAAAATATGCGTATTTGAAAAAATGCATATTAGTATAAAAAGAAAAAAAAGTTTATCAAATATATATTTTATAATTATTTTTATAGATACATTTGTGGTATTCAGATTATAGTACTTAGAAGTTAATTATTTATGGCATACTATTGTAAATATTAAATAAGAATTTATTATTTCGTAAATCATTATTTTAAAATTAATTGAATAAATTATAATATACAACATTTTAGATACTACGAATAGTGAGTGGACCATGATTATAAATGCGATAAATTATTATTTTTAATTAAAATTTGGTATTTAATTATAACACGTAATTTTGTATACCTATTATAATAGTTTATACGGTTTTTATCTTCGTAAGTATTTAAAAAAATGAAAATCAATATTTTTCCTTAATGTGGTTAAGTTTTATAATTCGTAATTCGTGCATTTGACAACTTAAAAAATATTTAATGTGATTTAGTGTACAATTTAATTTACCAAGCATGCATGGCCTCTGATATTATCATTATTAATGCAGTAATTCTAAATCTGATTCATGGGATCTTTAAATAATATGCTTAAAAATATGGTTTGAAGTACATACATATAAATATATATTTATATATAGAAATTCCAATTCTTGTCGAATCTCTTGTTTGTATATTTTATATACACAGTATTGAATCATTTGATATATTAGTTTTTTTTTTATTTTATTGTAAATTTAAATATTCTCTTGATTTCACCTTACATAATATATGCATATTAGGTATACAAATTAACTTAATAATTGTGACACACCATTAAATTGTGTATATTTAGTATAAAAATTGTGTTTTTTTAACGTTTTCTAATAGAACGTGTTAATAAGTAATAACAAGCGCATAATATTTAAGTATAATTTAATAATCATTACTATAATTAAAAAAATACATTTTTAGTAAACCAAAAACAAAAATAGAGTAACCTCAAGTTTTGAACACGCCTTATGTCACGATAAAAAGTAATGTTATATTAATTTTAATTTTTTTTTTTTTTTTTTAATTTTATATTATATATTAACATCACAACAGATGGGACCTTTTATGTTTCTATCAATTACCTCCCATGCATGCGTACGATATACGCGTGTGTACACACCGTATGCACGGTAATTATTTTAATGTCAATAATAATTTCCGTATGAATAAAGACAGTTGTTGTTAGTTTGAAGAGTGAGTGAGGAAACAACAGTGTACACTGTACCTATCATATCCCTATGTGCCTATCGTATATACGTATAAAAAAATTTAGGCAAGTGGGTACACGTGTTTATTGACTCCGCTATTTGGTAACAACTGTTATAGAATAATATTAAACAATATAATATGTATTATCGCAAACGGACATGTGTTTTTCGTTATCAATGCAATGGAACGCAGGTACTTATAGTATTTAATTTTTTTAATTTTTTTTTTTTTTATCTTGCGGTTTTGCTACACAATTAACACACTTATAAATATTTAGTTTTTCACACTCTATAGAATTATTTTAAATAAAAACAAACAAATAAATAATTAAACTGCAACAGAAATATAGTGTATAAAAATAAGGAATATTATGTGATTATATATTTATACATATTGATTTTTTTATAGTAATTATATTTAATAAATATGAAAGTATCACAACCGTTATATTATTATGTGTGGCCCAGATGGTATTTAAAAAAAATAAATTATTCTTTATGAATATGTTTATTTTTATACTTATTATTCATATTAATATTAAACTTTAAAAGTTTTGTATATTGTGTGTTTTTATTTTAGAACTTATAGGGACGGATATGTATCAAGTACATTTACTACATTTACAGATTCTATAAGTCTAACTTTATGCGCGTATCGGTTTTTATCCGCATAAAATCACTTGGTGATTTCAGTTTATTTCAGAAATAAATAATAGTACCATAACAATATATTTTACATAATATTCTCACAGCTGTTATATTTTCGTAAAACCAAGTTTGAAACTTCTAGTTTAAGTTGTACTTACGTTATGCTTTTGAAGTTTGAACAATGTCCGATTTATACCAAAGGTGTTGCATATGAATGCCTTTCATATTTTAATATAGCTAGATAGGCACTACTTACATAATATTTTTATATATAATACAATATTTTGCACATGACTTTGAATTTTTTTTATTATACAATATACGGCGACGACATGATAAATGGTCTTTGCTATAATAACGGATCTTATGCGAAATTATAATATAATCACATTCTTGCAGCCCTTCTCAATCGGTAATATGGATGACACCAACTTTCACGCTTATCGGCCACCCTTGCATACGAGGGTATAACGAATGTTGACTGCAATATATTCACAGTTCATTACACCATCGGACCATATCCATCGTTTCGTAATTTGTATAAATATTATAATATTATATATTATACTAGACGATTGTTTTGGCAGTGATTATAGAACTAACGAGTTGTAACGCTGCAGCGGTCACTCTTGTTTACGTTTTACTATTGAAAAAATTAGGGCACGTTCGCAATTCTACAAATAATAGAAATCATCACGTTATTACTCCAATTATTGCTTTCATCATTATTTATGTCTGCTGGAGAAACTATTGATATCGAATTTCACAACGTGCTAAATTATATATTTTTATTTCAAAAATAAGTATAATTTTGATTTAACAATCTGCTAAGTAAACTAAACTGTTGTTTTAGTATTTTTTCCTGTTACATCAACATTTTAATTAAAAAAATATATATTACAATAAACTGTGTATATATTCAATACGTATTGATTGACATTAAAAACAATAATAATCGTTTATAATGGTCTCTGTTGAAACACGAGGGAAAAAAAAGAATAATTTACATAATATCAGCTAAAATAAAAATATGGAAATAAGTTAATTGTTTGTTAATTCGATCAGATGAGTGTAATTATTAACCCTATTAATTGTCCAGTATATATATTTATATTTTAAACACTCAATGCCTAAAACAAAGTAGAAATATTTACAATATTGTTTTTACATGTATGGTATTCCATTTACGCTGTGTCGATACCCAAATCTCGACACTTCATCGTTGAAACTATATAAAATATACAGTTTGGTAGATACTTATTTGTAATAATTACTGGCTTCTACCGCAAACGAATAGACGTGTGAAAAACGTTGACGGTTTACCGAAATAGCGTGACTCACGCGAGTATATATTATGACCGCTTTTATACATAATATTTACTGGAAGAACAATATTAAGGTTAATAAAATAAATGTTGTCTGAATTTCAAATTGCTTCCATTATACTTAATTGAAAAAAAGCTGTGTTCTAAGGTTTTGCAACTTCCATTTTTTATAGTAAATTTAAATTACAACTCATTGTCCCGCTTAAAAACTTGCTTCTCCTTTAACTAACTTTTTTCCGTCTGTAGGTACCCGTTCACTCAATATATTATAATCCCATAATTAGCACAACGCTGTTTTAATTTGGGACGGTTCGATTTAAATTTATTTTTGACTTTTATTTAATGATATTCATCATATAATAAATCTTTGTCGATTAACAACCGTTTTTAATATAAAATATAAGTAATGATATTATTTTTTAATTAAAAATATATAAATTCAGCGTTCAGAGTGGAAAATATAACTTTTACATTTAATTTTTTAGTTTTTAGTTTTTAATATATTTTCTGGAATTATTATGTAATTTTATTTCATAAGTGCTTGAATTAGAGACGATTGATGATGGACTAAATCTAAAAAAATATGGAAAATGTTAATTAGTAAACTTCAGTAACTTGAAAAAAAAATAATTTTATAATTTGTCATGTTTTTAAGCGTGGTTGCAATAGAGATTAGGGATTGTAGTAAAATTAATAAACGCAATTTAATTTAAATAAAAACTGTATTAATATATCTTAAAATAGTGTTTGTTTTGTTATTTAATGCGTTTTATTTTTGAGGTTGATATCAAATGTATTTGTTCACATATTTTAAAGCATCTTCTAATTGTCGTATATATTTACCATTGAATCTTCTGACTAAATGAAATATAATACTAAATAGAAAAGCAAGTTATTTAAACACAATGTTTCTAAATACAATTATACAATTTTGAATTTTAAAAACAAATTAAATAATATAAATTATAGCATAGAATGACTTATCGTAATATTTTCAACGTCTTTGTAGTTTTCACTGATTTTGTAAAGTGGCAAGTACACTAGTTTATAATTTATATCAATCGTAATTATGTACGGAAGACTTCCATTTAGATTGTTAACAACAGCTAGTGTAATGATATAAAAAATAAATTAATATAATATTATTATAGTTAAAAATAAAATTTTAAAAATTGAGAACTTTTCATCACCATAACGTGCGTGCGCACATTTAAAAAATTGAACAATTATAACTAAATTTAATATTAAACTCGCACGTAAATAATAATCTTGCAGAGCCGTGTCGATTCCGTTTAAGGTGAATATATTTAAATATATTTTGAACCAAGTGGTGTGTACCTTACCTTTTTTTCATAATATAATTCCATAGAATACGATTTTTTGCTATGCGCTTTGGTTTCAAATTATTAAAATACTGCGGTACGAGAAGAGTAGATGAAAAACAATTTAAAATAGAATCGGAAAGATACATTTAGTACATTTCTTTTTTACGTATGTGGTGTCACAGATAATTTGTTATTGAAAAATCAGTAATATCACGTTTCAGAATTATTATAAACAGATGAAGCAATATATCCGGTGATGTGAACAGATGAAAACTAGGTAATTTTAAAACAATCATATTGCATTATTTTAAGAGATTACATTTTATATGAAAGTATTTACATGGATCGTTGGCCACACCACGTCATACGCTTAGGTTATTACTTACGACGTATGTATTTTCACATACTTTATTTTTCAATTTATTGAACCTTATTTTTTTATTGTTATTAGCATAATGGGAGACCACAGTTCATTTGATGATGTCAAAAAACTATTAAAAAGTTTTATTAAACTTAGTGTCAATTAAAATAATATTTTGCGTTTTGCGTTTATATTTTATTTTCAACATGACATTTTACAAATTTAGTATGTTAATCAATAAGTTGTTTCAGGGTAACACTATGTTATTATTATTAATAATTATGAAATGTTTTCAATAAATCACTTTATCAGAAACTTGTTCATTTTATTTTTTAAAATAGGTAACAATATATTAAACATTAAAAATCTTCGTTCGTAAAAAAACATTATATTATGTCTACTACTTTCCAATAATATCATATCATAACTTATGACAAATACTATACTGATGTAATAATTTTTTAGACAAACCCCACATACTCAATACTGCGTGACGCCTTGTCAACTATATTTTACCATATTATAATACGCGTATGAATATGTATTAAAGCCTGTTGGCCTCAATGTATTGGTTTTAAAAATGTGACGTCTTTTATTTTCGGGCATACAATTGGTAGAAACGGTGTAATTGTGGTCATATTATTATGTTTTACACTAAAAAACTTAAGACTACGTAACTTTGAGGAGCTATATCTCATATTAACCGATCAAAAAATAAAAAATTTAAATTTTTAATTGGGAATTTGTTAAAAAATATTCTTATAAATGTATGATATTTTTTTATATACCTACTGCTATTTCAAAGTCAAAAATTAAATATAGTTTGCTATCATAAAGGTTAAAAAAATAAATTTTTAAAAGATTTTAAAATAGCATGTTTTTGAAAATTAAAAAAAATAGATTTAGTTAAAATTAAAAAGTTAATTTTTTTCAAGATAATGAGTGTTTTGTAATAAAATATTTATTTATCCTGTATAGTACATTTATTAAATGTCTATTTGATGAATGAAAATACTTATATAAATAATAATTATAGCATGCAGTAAACAGTCAAATTGATGAGCAATTTATAGGTAAAATAAAATAAACTTTAATATTTAATATCGTTCTGTGGTACAGTTAATATTAAGTGAGTCATCGTAATGAAAATGTCAAATTTGAATTAATTTGATTATAAAAGCAATATACTCATTGTTTTCTTCAGAATCTAATACTAATAAATAGAGCTAGGATTTTAATGACTTTGCATTTTTTTTTTTTTTAGAGCTATATAATTCTAACCAAAAACTACATTTGTTTCGTTACATAAGAATTTATAATTTATAATTTTTATTTTGCGTTTTTATGCAATTTTTACATTTATTTTATTAAATTCAATTTATTACATTTTTAAGGTCATTTTTACAAATATTACGCTAATTTTGTATATTTAAACTCATTTTTGCTTATTTTAAGCTTTTTTTTTAATATGCATTGTATAAGTAATCTCAATTACTTACTCCAATTCATTGATATTAAAAAAGAATAATACAAT